GGGCTTAGGCCAATAATTTCCCTCCACGGCCACTACATGTGTGCAGACAGAGAGACAAAGTATACTCAGGGCTTGTTACTTGTTTGTTGTAGATACAAGATTTGGTCTTTCCTTCACAGTTCCACTGGTTTGTGCAATAAGACAGATTAAACTATCAAGTACAAAATCTAAGCGTTGTGGGATGCTATGTTGTTGACAATTCAAAGAATTAGCATTTAGCAACAGAGCAAGATTGAAAAAACTCCTTTCTTCTGAGTGCTTTCACCAAAGTATTCTGCTATAAAGTCTGTTCATTCCCACATCATGGAGCTTCATTCCATTCCATTCCCAAGTCCTACAAGTACGGGAATTGTATTGGCAAGAAAGCAAGGTATAAGTGCGTAAATGAGGGAAGCATGAACTTCGGTATAGAAATGGCTTTGTGATTTCTTTTAGGAGGAAAATTGAGTTGCTGATACTACAAGCCCAAATCTTTCCGTACCTTCCTTATTAAAGCAGAAGAAAATCAAATCAAAAAAGAGCAAGAGTTGAATAAAACAAGGATCTAACTATTTGTTGACAATGATGAGCATCAGACACTAGAAAGACCAGTATTTGAACACAAGACGATAACATGGTCCAAGCGCACAACAATCCATTTAACCTGAAAATGCGTATGCCAAACTTAAGAAACTTATATACAATTCAAAATTGAAAAAGAAACCTTTCCTACTCGAAATCCAAGCCCTAGCAGGCACAAAAGTACACATAGGCATACACAGTTAAGAGTTCAAATTCACTAAGTTTAGATCTTTCAGTAATGTATTTATCAAACTCAATCACCACACACATCGTAAAGATCGATATACAGAGAGATCAAATAAATAAAAATAAATAAAAGCCCATTTATAAAAATACAAATACAGAGAAAAGGAAAACCATACTTGAGGGACATCAATAGGTTGATTGAGCTCGCCGGGTTGAATCTCCTCGAGAGGCGTTTGTTCTTTTGTCAATTTCACATAACTCGACGGATGAATTCTTTCATCCGCCATTCCCAATAGATCTGAAAACCCAAAATTTTACAGCAAAATTTAACACAACCGAAACAGGAAACAAAAATTGAAATAAAAATAATAGACACGAACGCAAACAATCACTGAAGCTTTGATTTGGGGTTGCAGACGATATAACAAGTCAGCAGGGTGAAGTAAACAATGATAAATGCAATTGTATTTTACTATAAATATACAATTGTAAATGTCGAAGAGTTAGGCCTAGGGTGACTTTTCAATTTTCATGCCGAAGTCCTATATTTGTCTGGGGGTTGTATTTTTCCATTTTAAAGAAGACGACTTTGCAGATCTATTCGAGTTTCTTAATTTTGGGGTAAATTTCAAAGAAGGTAACCCCAATTTGCCGTTAAATTTCAAAGAAGGTAACCCCAATTTGCCGTTAAATTTCAAAGAAGGTAACCCCAATTTGCCGTTAAATTTCAAAGAAGGTAACCCCAATTTGCCGTTAAATTTCAAAGAAGGTAACCCCAATTTGCCGTTAAATTTCAAAGAAGGTAACCCCAATTTGCCGTTAAATTTCAAAGAAGGTAACCCCAATATCGGTAGAAACTAGTTTAACTTTAATTTGTTTAATTTTTATCACCTAACTTATATTTTTATTTCAAAATTAATCTTGACCTAAGGTAACCGTGAGTCCAATTAAAAATTATAAGCCCCTGTTTATTTCTGATTTTCTACCTAATTTTAACCATATGTTTAGCTGTTGTCATTTCATTTCAACCTGCTTTTATTCCATGCGGTCTCCTTTCAAGTTATTGGACAAATCAATTGCAAACCGTATAGGTCATTGATTTCATTATCTTTGTGGAATCACCATTAATTTCTACTACGATTATAGATAGAATGATTAAATCTATATACAAATGTAAGCGAGGAGATTAAACTGAAATAAATTAAAGTTGGATGACCAACATGAAACAAACTAAGTTAGATTACCTCTGTAAAAAAATTCCTCATTAAATAACAAAGTCAATTCCACCTTGCGGGGAATCGAACTCTGCACACTGCCGCGCTGAGCCCTATCCACCTTCCCCTTTGTCACTGGGAGATATGCCCTGGGGGTTACCATATAGGTTAACAGCCTTGACCTATCCATGTGCTCCCCATCCTGACTCCTGGGAGGCACATCCTGCGATTTACCTCCTCCACGATGGCTCAGGGCAGGGTCGGTGGGGGCCCTTAAGGTTGGAGTTCAACCCTTTTATTTCCTCATTTAGCTCCTGTTTGGCCCCCATTTCTTGGTAATGAAAATGGGTGAAATGGTGTTTTTTTTGAAAAATGAGTGATTGAAAAAGATGAAATTTTTTTCGATTTAAGTGTAATATAATTTTATGAAAGATTGTATGTTTGAAAATAGGAAAGAAAAAAAAATGTAATTTAATGGAGGCCAAACGGGGCTTAAAGATTCGTTACTTTACTTTTTCAGTGGCCGCCCCATCTCATGTTTTAATTATTTTCCTTGTTTTTTCTTTTCATCTCTTTTTCTAAATTTTTCCTTGTTTGATCCTTTTTATCTTTTTCACTGTCAACAACTCTGTACTAATCCAAATAATCTGAAATGAATGGCGAAAGAAAATAAGACAGAAACTCTGTCCGAATAGAGCTATTTGTCTCCAATGATAGAAGGTTGTTACATTTTAATTCCTGTGCGAAGAATAAAAAATAAGAACCACAATTTATATCGACAAAAAGAGAAATAATATCTACAAAAATAACAGCATTTGGAACACGATGAAAGTCCGCCTAGAAGGTTTGCACTTGTCGACCGAACCACATACAGCAATCACGATCTTGTACCCTACTTAAGCAAAAAATGGAGTGGTCCACAGGTTAACTTATTTCAAAACAAAATACATTAATTAATTTTTTTACTTTTCAATCGGTTAACAAAAGGGTTATGTATTTATAGCATTCTTGTAACATAACAAATTCATCGAGTGTAAAATGTTTCACTCGTAATTTATCATCAAATTATTGACGCAAGATTTGGTCATTTTGGTTTGGCTCACTCCAGCCCATTGCTCACGACAGGGATGAAGAAATCTAAGTTCAAAGTGTTTATAAGTGACTTATTTTCTAAACTAGGCTCTTGTTTATACTCATTCTTCTCAAAATTTATTTTCAATCACATATTTTTTAATAAAATAATATCATACACAAACTCAAGTGACTTAATTTTTAACCACACATTCTCCATCAATCACTATTTTAAAATACATTCTTTCCCTTAAAATTGGCCTAAAACAAGGGCTAGATTTACTTTTCCACAAGGTATATACTCTTCATAAAAGTAACACCTAAGTAATGTTTAAGTACTAGCAAACATTTTTATGTTTTCGTTTTTTTTTCTTTTTCAAAGTTATCGATATTTTGGTGCATAGGAATTGTAAAAAGGATGTGATGGAGTCGTACCGGAGAAGAAAATAATTTATTTATTTATTTTTATGTTTAATTTTTTAAAGAGAAATCAAAGTGAGACCAATGAGAGTAAGTTATTAGTGACCAATTGACTGCAAATGTGAACGATTAATGCATATTTGGTATGTAATAATTGAATTGGACCCTATTGAGCAGTATAATTAACAAGATTTTAACTTCCATCTTACCAGATGTATATGATGAAATTGACGAACTATAGAAACAATTTTCACAATTAAAGTAAAAAAAATTTCAAATTTGTTTCATATATAATAACACTTCATCATTGTACACAAGAATACAGGTAACACATTAAGGCCAATTTCTATACCAACCATCCCATGCAGAAACCAATCCACTAATTCCAAGTGTAACAGCATGGTTACAATCAGATGTGCTAAATTAGCTGCCATAGCCATTAGTCTCATCACCCTATCAACCCTAATTTTCTTTATTTTTTCATTTGAATCCTTTGATTTAATAATCTTCCCTTCTGTCTGAATCCCCTCTTGAATGAGTATAAAATTAGATACGATGAAAAATATGTAACCAAATGCTGATAAGAAACTGGTTCTCGTAGCCAAATTTGCATCCAACACTCCAATTCTTGACAGCCAAAGAAAGTGGTCAAAGAAGAAGTATACAATTTCGCCAGCGTTCGCAAGCACGAAAAGCATCCAGAATGTCGTGGTGGGACACGGATTCTGCCTTAGTGCGTTAAAGCCGGCAAGAAACTGTCCACTTCGGAACTGCCACTTCCCATTGCTTGGCCCTGGAGGCTACATTGGGACGTGTTTTTTCAACATGCCAATGAACAAGTTTTGATACGTATTGAAAAGTCTTGATGAGGTTGTCAATGCCGTCTCTCTTTGCTAGAAAGATTACCAGCTTGTATTAGTTGTGCTATCTGCACAGACCCTTTTGCACAGGATCTGTACAGGTACACACACATGAGGGTGGACCCCACACATGGGGTCCACATGTGGAGTCCACCCCCATGTGAGAGCCCCTGTACAGGGCCTGTGCAGGGAGCTTTGTTCCAGCTTGTATACTGTGTCATTCTTGGTTGAAATCTGTGTATGGAAAAAAGTGATTATTGATTAAAATGAGAATGAACTCAAATAAGATTGCAGAAAGAGTGTGTACCGAGAAAAAAATTGGTGGACAGGCACAAAACTGGGTTTCTTGGATAGAACAAAATTTTATACTTGGTTGGACAATGTCCTTTTGTCCTCAGCAATTTTTATTTGTTAACAATGCTATCTAATATTAATGGTGTTGAACATCAACTTAGATGTCAGAATATCGGTTATAAATTCTTATATTTAATTAAACTTGTAATTAAATGATATAAGTACTATCACCTAGACCGATAAATATTATTAACCTAGAAAATTTTAATTTTTTTCTCCTTTATTAATTAATAATTAGTGTTAAAAGTATTAAGAAATAGGGTAATTAATAATTATATTACCACAATAAAATTTGTTTGAACCACCACATTTTTTTTATTTACTGAAGGGTAATTAGCACAAAATATCACTACCTTTCGATGTTTTTGTGAAAAACGTCCATACCTTTCATTTTTTGGCGGATTACACCCTTACCTTTACCTTTTTTTGCGCAAAACGTCCTTCTGTCAACTCTCCGTTAAAATGCTCCGTTAAATCAAAAAGGTAATTAGCACAAAAGGTCCCTACCTTTCAAAGTTATTGTGCAAAACGTCCCTACCTTTTATTTTTTTAGCATAATTAGAAGAAAATGTCCCTACCTTTCAATATTATTGTGCAAAACGTCCCTACCTTTCATTTTTAGCATTTTTACCCCTACATTTCACCTTTCATTGCGCAAAAGGTCATTTTCATCCATTTTTTCAATAAAATGACGATTTTACCCTCCTATTGAAATAAAACAAAAAGAAAAGAAAAAAATAATTAATTAATTGCAATCATAGTTCTAAATCTTTCAAAACATTACAGATAAATCCTAAATTCTCCACTACTGCCACTTTCACAACCCCACCAAGCCACCACCTATAGATCCATGTAGCACCACTTTTCGACCACAATACCTATCGGACTCCACTACCGTAATGTTTTGAAAGATTTAGAACTATGATTGCAATTAATTAATCATTTTTTCTTTTCTTTTTGTTTTATTTCAATATGAGGGTAAAATCGTCATTTTATTGAAAAAATGGATGAAAATGACCTTTTGCGCAATGAAAGGTGAAATGTAGGGGTAAAAATGCTAAAAATGAAAGGTAGGGACGTTTTGCACAATAATATTGAAAGGTAGGGACATTTTCTGCTAATTATGCTAAAAAAATAAAAGGTAGGGACGTTTTGCACAATAACTTTGAAAGGTAGGGACCTTTTGTGCTAATTACCTTTTTGATTTAACGGAGCATTTTAATGGAGAGTTGACAGAAGGACGTTTTGCGCAAAAAAAAGGTAAAGGTAAGGGTGTAATCCGCCAAAAAATGAAAGGTAGGGACGTTTTCCACAAAAATATCGAAAGGTAGGGATGTTTTGTGCTAATTACCCTTTACTAAAATAACCAAAACTAAAATGACATAAATAACCATCAATGTCCATATGTTGTTCTCACTTTCATCTATCTTTACGTGCACCAAGAATTCAAATCCTAACCTGTATAGTAAAACTTCAAGTTGAAATTAACTCTTATTGGCTTTATCTTTCTCCTTATGGCTTTACTCGTGATTGAACGTGTTTCGCGCGGGTAGTCGCTAACAATTAAAAAGGAATCAGACGATTGTGTAAGAAATATACCTCTTAAGACAAAATCCCAAAAATGGGTGTTTTATTGACAATGATTTGCAATTGGAACTAAACAGAATGCCTCTAAGGGACACAAGCACACGAGTACTAAAAGAAATGTTTAAATTTAAACTAAGGAATTGAAATTAAATATTCTCTGTTTGAGAGTATTTGATTCGTGGTCCTTTTCTCTATGTCTTCTCTTCCTTTTATATTCCTTTGATGATTTCTTCGTGACAAACCGCTTGGAAACTACTTGATTGTTGTATAACTACCCACTTTCTTTATGGTGGCTAACTTATCGTGGAACTGCCATCCCTAACTGCTGTCATTACTCTTTGTCGTTCAACTGCCTTCAACTGGGCTCCTTTGAATCGTGAAATGCGATAAAATCACTCAATAACTGCTTTAATAACTGTTATTCTGGATAACCATAATATTTTATGCTTGCTGAGATCCTAGGCGATTCGAAGGTTTGGGTGAGAACGGGTCCATCGCTCTGGGCGATCGTAAGGTATTCTATTCGTTCAGATTATGGGCGTCTTACAAGTTTGGACGATGATGTTACCGTGTTCGTGGGCTTCCACCGCATTCATCAATAATCTTGTTTGGACCTTTATCCTGAATTTCCCAATTGGGCTTCACTCTTTGAGCTATCTGATTTGGGTTGCACTTTTAGTGTATCAACAATTACCCCCTAATATGGTAGAATTAATACTAATTATTAATCTTTGCCATATTCACTTTGTATTTTCCAGCAATACCTGAAATTTTCAAGAATTTCAATCATTATTTCCTTCTACAGTCTGAAAAGGTGCAACGTTACAAACCCCTATAAACCAAAAGGACACGCCTTTTCTCGCACCACTAAACCACGTCTCTATATTTCGCGCTTCTTCCTCACTATTTTACTGTTCATCTTCTTGCTTCTCTGCTACGTTTCTCAAGCAAACCTTATCAAATCTGTACTTTGTTTCCAATGACGACTTCACAAACTCAATTTGATGATTCTTTTAGTTTTGAAGATCTCTAGAAAATCCTTATTAGGCCATATGTAAATTCAAACTTCCTTGCACAAGCTAGTGCTGACCTCAATGAATTCTATTTGGGTCTATCGTTTAATAATGCCGAAGCCGTCGAACAAGTGGCGGTGGGCCAGCTATTCCCTTGCACTCAAGGTCCTCTATTCCTGAACTCTCTGCCATTGAGGCCGATTCGCGAAAAAGGTATTCGTACTTGACCCAAAGCTGATGTTATTTTTCGTAGATGGCATACACGTCTTGTGAGTCATGGCCCCACCAAGGCGATTTTTGATCATGCTAGGATTTCAGATTTATTAGAAATTTCTCTTCAACCCCCGATTTTTGACCCAGTGCTTTTTCCTATTGCTTTGAGTTTTTGGTCTTCTGAGTATAACACCTTCGTTTTCCCTCTTGGCCCTATGTCTATTAATTTAAGGGATGTTGGAGCCCTAGTAAATCTTCTACCTTTGGGCGATACCATCTTTCCTGGTATCTTGATTTCCAGTGTTGCCCCGAAATTTGATAAGAAACTTATTGAGTCCTATTCAAGCCTGCAAGGTTTTTATAATCACTCAAACGCTGAACCTTCCCATGCTGAGCGTGTGGCTTTTCTTCAAATTTGGCTCTGTAAATATATTCTTTGCGTGCCAAGTATGAAACCTTCTATGAGCTACTTACCCATAGCGCATGAATTGGCGCGTGGTAGACCTTTCAACTTATGTTCCTTCTTTTTAGCCGCCCTTTATAGAGGCATGGCTTCCCTTCAGTTTCAACTGAAGAATGGTGCATCTCCCACTGGCAGTGGCCTCCTTTGGTTTACTCAACTGTGGTTGAGAGCATATTTTCCGCCACTTGGTGCTCCATCCATTTTCAATCGTTCTGCTAGCTGCTATGGGCTAGCCATTGATCCACTGACCCCTGTAAATATGTCCAGTAGGGACATTTTTTCATTCTTTTATACCTTAAATTTGATTCATTCCTTCTTTTCTTTTCGTGCTCATTTGACTCCAGATTATGTGCAACCTCTATCCACCCTAAACAGTGCGAGTGCCTCTCTGCTTGTTTGGGTTCAGTTTTTGATTGGGAGGGAATTTTTCCACGATATCTTAACTGGAACTAATGCCAAAGCTGGGGTTGAAATATATGCTCCCCAATTTTTTGCTCGCCAACTTGGTTTTGGCCAAACTTGGTCTGTTCCTCCCTGTTACTCCAAAAATTTGGCAAACCGTTTTCACACTATTAATAAGGCAGAGGCACAAGCTATAGATGCTCGCAACATTCTTTTGACGAGCAAATTTTCATTAGCCCCTTTCAATTCTAGCTGTTCTGTCCATCCTCTTTTTGAACAGCTTTGACCATTAGTAACACGTCGATTGTTTGTAACTGATGCTAATCGTGCCTTCCATTTACTGGACCAACCAGACACTCCCGCTACTTCTTCCATTTTGGTCACCCCTGTGTCCATTAGGAATCCTTCCTCCCCTGCTCGTGCTAAACATTCTATCCATCCATCTGCTTCTCTACTTGCCAAGGCTACTGCAGCTAAAAGTACTTTAAACCGCAAACGACCAGCTTTGGCATCTCCCACTTTGCAAGATGATGATGACGACGCTCCTCTCATCGTTAGGAGAAAGGTAATTGAATTTGTTTATTCCTAAACATACTTTTCTATGTACTAATGGTTTACCTGAATTTCTCAGAAAAGTTCAACCTCTCATTCGAAAGCTTTGGTTTTGGCAGCTCCTGCTCCATCATTTTCTACTGAAACTGTTTCGTCCAAATCAGCTGATGAATGGATTATGCTTAAAGAGAAACCCTTAATTCCAGAACCTTCATCACAACCAGTAGAAGGGCCACCTTCTTCCCAGGGCGCCGACCCCCCAAATGTCGGACCAGAAGGTAATACATATTTTGATATTTTATCTTTGCTTATGTTACTGGTTTCTGATTCGTTACTTCTTGAATTATGCAGAGGCTCTCATGGCCCTGCCCGTTGTGGCAGAGTCCTCTCGCCCAGATAAGAGAAATTTCCCACAGGTGGTGGAGCCTACTGGTGATATGCCTGAACTTCCCAAGATTGCTAATGAGGTAACATTTTGCTTCACTTTCATTTTCGCTTCATTTATTGTAGTGAAAGTCCTCAATATTGGCACTTTTCTTTGCAGGATACTGATGACATTGTGCGTTTCATCCAGGACTTGTTTACTTCCTGGGGGCAAGTCAAGACATCTCGCCCTACTTCAACCAGTCATCCTTCTGCTTCTTCAGAGGAAGATATGAAGTTTCTCAAGTAGTCGGTATTTGAGTACGTGTCTTTCATGGACATGAATATCGGCCCGGCTAGTGCTACTAAACATAAGGATAAGCTTGAGTTGTTGAGTGCAAAATTGGCGCAAGCACTTACACTTTCGTCACTCAATGTTTCTGCTGACTTTAAAGCGACGTTGAAGGTTGTTCACTTTGATATCCTCTTCTTACTAGCCAAAAATGTTGAACTGAAAGCCAGTAGTACTCAATATCTTCGTACTACATCTGAAAGAGAGTCTTTACTTCTAGAGATTAACAAAGCCGAGGACGAATTGAAAGAAATCTCTTCCGACGTTATGGTCGAAGACTCTTTGATGACAAGTTTGGCTGCGGAGATGAAGGAGCTTCAAGCAAAGAATTGAACGAACCAAGTCTTTAGTTGAGCAGTATAAAAAGCTGGAAGTTGATGACGATTTTGTAGCTGAATTAAATGTCGCTTCTTCTCAACAAAGCGAAGATTGGGGAAGACTTGGGTAAAAAATTCGTTCGGCCTGAGGTAAATTGTAATTAATACATTCAATACCTTAACTTTCCTTTTGTAACTTCGCACTAATGGTCATTGCTAATTTTGAATGTAACATCAGTTATCGTCATTAATGAATGACTAATTTGTCTACTTGCGTGTTTAATTGACATTGTCCTTAATCGTCAACCTCCCAAGAATTTAATTGCTTTATGCTAAGATTCATGTGCATTCTTCCTTAGTATTTGCGTCTCTTTTCCCAAGACGTTTCAGTTATTAGGCACGAATGTGGCCATTCACATTTTGTCTTTTCACCTTCACGTCTCTATAAATGCGTGTGTATTTCGCACTTATCGTTTTCATTTCCATTCTTTTCTTCAAAAACTAATTTGCTGTCATCGTTTGGCATCTTAACAATTGATTCAAAATTTTCGTCTTCCATAGAAATGGATCATTTGATCCGCCCATTTTGCTATCTGTTTTGATGTCACCTTTGGTATGGAAGATATAGAAAATATTTTTTGGTCAGCAAAGTTCTTCCCATCATCTCCATATTTTTTATAAGGAGTTCAATAATGGAAGGCAATTTTTGAGGATGCTTTTCAAGTCACTTTACTTGTTGAGAATGCTTCTCAGTCTCCTTGCCTATTATTGCAGCAATGCAATTAGGTAGGCGATTTGAAGGTGCTTTTCTTCCTTTTTGTTTGTTGAGAGTGCTTCTCAGCCTCTCTGCCTATCCTTGCAGCAGTGCGATCAGAACAACGACCAAGGCCAGTTCACCCTCTTGTTTGGCGATTGATCGAGAAATTAGTTTGCTCTCAATTGTAGCTTCTAGAGTATTTAGTAATTTGTATCTCACAATTTGTAATGTATATTTGATAATAAGGAAATTTACTTGAACGTATTTTGTCCTGGTCCTATTTATCTACGATCGTTCAACGCAATTTGATTACACTTTTATTTGTTCATTCTCTCATAAGGAAGGAACATATTTTTTTAAATATTTGCTTCAGTAATGTATTTATCAAACTCAATCACCACACACATCGTAAAGATCGATATACAGAGAGATCAAATAAATAAAAATAAATAAAAGCCCATTTATAAAAATACAAATACAGAGAAAAGGAAAACCATACTTGAGGGACATCAATAGGTTGATTGAGCTCGCCGGGTTGAATCTCCTCGAGAGGCGTTTGTTCTTTTGTCAATTTCACATAACTCGACGGATGAATTCTTTCATCCGCCATTCCCAATAGATCTGAAAACCCAAAATTTTACAGCAAAATTTAACACAACCGAAACAGGAAACAAAAATTGAAATAAAAATAATAGACACGAACGCAAACAATCACTGAAGCTTTGATTTGGGGTTGCAGACGATATAACAAGTCAGCAGGGTGAAGTAAACAATGATAAATGCAATTGTATTTTACTATAAATATACAATTGTAAATGTCGAAGAGTTAGGCCTAGGGTGACTTTTCAATTTTCATGCCGAAGTCCTATATTTGTCTGGGGGTTGTATTTTTCCATTTTAAAGAAGACGACTTTGCAGATCTATTCGAGTTTCTTAATTTTGGGGTAAATTTCAAAGAAGGTAACCCCAATTTGCCGTTAAATTTCAAAGAAGGTAACCCCAATATCGGTAGAAACTAGTTTAACTTTAATTTGTTTAATTTTTATCACCTAACTTATATTTTTATTTCAAAATTAATCTTGACCTAAGGTAACCGTGAGTCCAATTAAAAATTATAAGCCCCTGTTTATTTCTGATTTTCTACCTAATTTTAACCATATGTTTAGCTGTTGTCATTTCATTTCAACCTGCTTTTATTCCATGCGGTCTCCTTTCAAGTTATTGGACAAATCAATTGCAAACCGTATAGGTCATTGATTTCATTATCTTTGTGGAATCACCATTAATTTCTACTACGATTATAGATAGAATGATTAAATCTATATACAAATGTAAGCGAGGAGATTAAACTGAAATAAATTAAAGTTGGATGACCAACATGAAACAAACTAAGTTAGATTACCTCTGTAAAAAAATTCCTCATTAAATAACAAAGTCAATTCCACCTTGCGGGGAATCGAACTCTGCACACTGCCGCGCTGAGCCCTATCCGCCTTCCCCTTTGTCACTGGGAGATATGCCCTGGGGGTTACCATATAGGTTAACAGCCTTGACCTATCCATGTGCTCTCCATCCTGGCTCCTGGGAGGCACATCCTGCGATTTACCTCCTCCACGATGGCTCAGGGCAGGGTCGGTGGGGGCCCTTAAGGTTGGAGTTCAACCCTTTTATTTCCTCATTTAGCTCCTGTTTGGCCCCCATTTCTTGGTAATGAAAATGGGTGAAATGGTGTTTTTTTTGAAAAATGAGTGATTGAAAAAGATGAAATTTTTTTCGATTTAAGTGTAATATAATTTTATGAAAGATTGTATGTTTGAAAATAGGAAAGAAAAAAAAATGTAATTTAATGGAGGCCAAACGGGGCTTAAAGATTCGTTACTTTACTTTTTCGTGGCCGCCCCATCTCATGTTTTAATTATTTTCCTTGTTTTTTCTTTTCATCTCTTTTTCTAAATTTTTCCTTGTTTGATCCTTTTTATCTTTCTCACTGTCAACAACTCTGTACTAATCCAAATAATCTGAAATGAATGGCGAAAGAAAATAAGACAGAAACTCTGTCCGAATAGAGCTATTTGTCTCCAATGATAGAAGGTTGTTACATTTTAATTCCTGTGCGAAGAATAAAAAATAAGAACCACAATTTATATCGACAAAAAGAGAAATAATATCTACAAAAATAACAGCATTTGGAACACGATGAAAGTCCGCCTAGAAGGTTTGCACTTGTCGACCGAACCACATACAGCAATCACGATCTTGTATCCTACTTAAGCAAAAAATGTAGTCCGCTTGTTAACTTATTTCAAAACAAAATACATTAATTATATTTTTTACTTTTCAATCGGTTAGTAAAAGAGTCATGTATTTATAGCATTCTTGTAACATAACAAACTCGTCGAGTGTAAAATGTTTCATTCGTAATTTAACATCAAATTATCGACGCAAGATTTGGTCATTTTGGTTAGGCTCACTCCAGCCCGTTGCTCTCGACAGGTACGAAGAAATCTAAGTTCAAAGTGTTTATAAGTGCCTTATTTTTCTAAAATTAGGCTCTTGTTTGATCCTCATTCTTTTCGAAATTTATTTTTCAACCACATATTTTTTAATAAAATAATATTATACGCAAACTCAAAACTTTCCTTTAATTTTTAACTACACATTCTCTATCAGTCAATATTTAAAAATACATTCTTTCCCTTAAAATTGGGCTAAAACAAGGGCTAGATTTACTTTTCCACAAGGTATATACTCTTCATAAAAGTAACACCTAAGTAATGTTTAAGTACTAGCAAACATTTTTATGTTTTCATTTTTTTTTCTTTTTCAAAGTTATCGATATTTTGGTGCATAGGAATTGTAAAAAGGATGTGATGGAGTCGGACCGGAGAAGAAAATAACTTATTTATTTATTTTTATGTTTAATTTTTTATAGAGAAATCAAAGTGAGACCAATGAGAATAAGTTATTAGTGACCAATTGACTGCAAATGTGAACGATTAATGCATATTTGGTATGCAATAATTGAATTGGATCATATTGAGCAGTATAATTAACAAGATTTTAACTTCCATCTTACCAAATGTATATGATGAAATTGACGAACTATAGAAACAATTTTCACAATTAAAGTAAAAAAATTTTCAAATTTGTTTCATATATAATAACACTTCATCATTGTACACAAGAATACAGGTAACACATTAAGGCCAATTTCTATACCAACCATCCCATGCAGAAACCAATCCACTAATTCCAAGTGTAACAGCATGGTTACAATCAGATGTGCTAAATTAGCTGCCATAGCCATTAGTCTCATCACCCTATCAACCCTAATTTTCTTGATTTTTTCATTTGAATCCCTTGATTTAATAATCTTCCCTTCTGTCTGAATCCCCTCTTGAATGAGTATAAAATTAGATACGATGAAAAATATGTAACCAAATGCTGATAAGAAACTGGTTCTCGTAGCCAAATTTGCATCCAACACTCCAATTCTTGACAGCCAAAGAAAGTGGTCAAAGAAGAAGTATACAATTTCGCCAGCGTTCGCAAGCACGAAAAGCATCCAGAATGTCGTGGTGGGACACGGATTCTGCCTTAGTGCGTTAAAGCCGGCAAGAAACTGTCCACTTCGGAACTGCCACTTCCCATTGCTTGGCCCTGGAGGCTACATTGGGACGTGTTTTTTCAACATGCCAATGAACAAGTTTTGATACGTATTGAAAAGTCTTGACGAGGTTGTCAATGCCGTCTCTCTTTGCTAGAAAGATTACCAGCTTGTATTAGTTGTGCTATCTGCACAGACCCTTTTGCACAGGATCTGTACAGGTACACACATGAGGGTGGACCCCACACATGGGGTCCACATGTGGAGTCCACCCCCATGTGAGAGCCCCTGTACAGGCCCTTTGCAAAAGGGCCTGTGCAGGGAGCTTTATTCCAGCTTGTATACTGTGTCATTCTTGGTTGAAATCTGTGTATGGAAAAAAGTGATTATTGATTAAAATGAGAATGAACTCAAATAAGATTGCAGAAAGAGTGTGTACCGAGAAAAAAATTGGTGGACAGGCACAAAACTGGGTTTCTTGGATAGAACAAAATTTTATACTTGGTTGGACAATGTCCTTTTGTCCTCAGCAATTTTTATTTGTTAACAATGCTATCTAATATTAATGGTGTTGAACATCAACTTAGATGTCAGAATATCGGTTATAAATTCTTATATTTAATTAAACTTGTAATTAAATGATATAAGTACTATCACCTAGACCGATAAATATTATTAACCTAGAAAATTTTAATTTTTTTCTCCTTTATTAATTAATAATTAGTGTTAAAAGTATTAAGAAATAGGGTAACTAATAATTATATTACCACAATAAAATTTGTTTGAACCACCACATTTTTTTTATTTACTAAAATAACCAAAACTAAAATGACATAAATAACCATCAATGTCCATATGTTGTTCTCACTTTCATCTATCTTTACGTGCACCAAGAATTCAAATCCTAACCTGTATAGTAAAACTTCAAGTTGAAATTAACTCTTATTGGCTTTATCTTTCTCCTTATGGCTTTACTCGTGATTGAACGTGTTTCGCGCGGGTACTCGCTAGCAATTAAAAAGGAATCAGACGATTGTGTAAGAAATAGACCTCTTAAGACAAAATCCCAAAAATGGGTGTTTTATTGGCAATGATTTGCAATTGGAACTAAACAGAATGCCTCTAAGGGGCGCAAACACACGAGTACTAAAAGAAATGTTTAAATTTAAACTAAGGAATTGAAATTACATATTCTCTGTTTGAGAGTATTTGATTCGTGGTCCTTTTCTCTATGTCTTCTCTTCCTTTTATATTTCTTTGATGATTTCTTCGTGACAAACCGCTTGGAAACTACTTGATTGTTGTATAACTACCCACTTTTTTTATGGTGGCTAACTTATCGTGGAACTGCCGTCCCTAACTGCTGTCATTACTCTTTGTCGTTCAACTGCCTTCAACTGGGCTCCTTTGAATCATGAAATGCGATAAAATCACTCAATAACTGCTTTAATAACTGTTATTCTGGATAACCATAATATTTTATGCTTGCTGAGATCCTAGGCGATTCGAAGGTTTGGGCGAGAACGGGTCCATCGCTCTGGGCGATCGTAAGGTATTCTATTCGTTCAGATTATGGGCGTCTTACAAGTTTGGGCGATGATGTTACCGTGTTCGTGGGCTTCCACCGCATTCATCAATAATCTTGTTTGGACCTTTATCCTGAATTTCTCAATTGGGCTTCACTCTTTGAGCTATCTGATTTGGGCTGCACTTTTAGTGTATCAACAATTACCCCCTAATATGGTAGAATTAATACTAATTATTAATTTTTGCCATATTCACTTTGTATTTTCCAGCAATACTTGAAATTTCCAAGAATTTCAATCATTATTTCCTTCTACAGTCTGAAAAGGTGCAACGTTACAAACCCCTATAAACCAAAAGGACACGCCTTTTCTCGCACCACTAAACCACGTCTCTATATTTCGCGCTTCTTCCTCACTATTTTACTGTTCATCTTCTTGCTTCTCTGCTATGTTTCTCAAGCAAACCTTATCAAAACTGTACTTTGTTTCCAATGACGACTTCACAAACTCAATTTGATGATTCTTTTAGTTTTGAAGATTTCTAGAAAATCCTTATTAGGCCATATGTAAATTCAAACTTCCTTGCACAAGCTAGTGCTGACCTCAATGAATTCTATTTGGGTCTATCGTTTAATAATGCCGAAGCCGTCGGACAAGTGGCGGTGGACCAGCTATTCCCTTGCACTCAAGGTCCTCTATTCCTGAACTCTCTGCCATTGAGGCCGATTCGTGAAAAATGTATTCGTACTTGACCCAAAGCTGATGTTATTTTTCGTAGATGGCATGCACGTCTTGTGAGTCATGGCCCCACCA